TGATTAAAAAAAAAAAAAGTGAGAATCTGACCAATTCAGTATGTATGTTGGAGGGGGTGTCCATTTTACAGACTGGTAGAGAATAATGCAAAGCTGAACATAGCGGCTTCCATAAGCACCTTTTTTCTGTATGATTATTGGTAAATATTGAGTTAAATACTGTCTAGTAGATTTGTACCATGTAGTTGGCTAATTTGGCTCATGTATAGATTACCCCCAACCCCCAGATACACACAAAATTCCTAACAATGAATGGATTGTCCTCAAAAATAGACTATACTGTAAAATTTCAGCCTGAGCTTTACTGAAACTCTATGATTTATGTAAATAACAATTTTGGACTTCACACATACTCCGTACTTTTTTGTCAATGCCACCTGCCAGGGGAATTATGGTTTGCCTTGAGTTGACAGATTTACATTTGATTTGTGCTTCATTCATTGCTAAAGAGTAAAGATCAGTTAAAGGCCGATTTGCCCTGTGATGAAACATGTCACTAACTCTACATTTGAGCTATTTACATGTTTATTAAGAGTGATAATCATAAATTGAAAGCACAATCCCACAAAAGATATTGGAGAGCCCTGTGAGCACCATGCCACGTGAACCTGATAAATAGGAAGTGGTGTAAATCCTAGTGTCAGCGGGACAGCTCACATGTGTGTCACGCAAGAAGATGGTGTGGCAGCACTTTCAGGTTGATATGTATATGATGATTCCAATAAGCAAATTCTCAAGTTTTGGTGTGTGGACTAGGAGTGTTTTTGTTTTTCAACACTGAGCTCACTCTGTTGCCCAGGATGGAGTGCAGTGGTGTGATCTCGACTCACTGCAACCTTCACCTTCCAGGTCCAAGCAGTTCTCCTATCTCAGCCTCTTGAGTAGCTGAGACTACAGGTGTAAGCCACCATATCTGGCTAATTTTTGTAGTTTTAGTAGAAATGGGGTTTCACCATATTCATCAGGCTGATCTCGAACACCTGACTACTTCAGGTGATCCACATGCCTCAACCTCCCAAAATTCTGGGATTACAGCTGTGAGCCACTGTGCCCAGCAGGATTAGGAGTATTGATATCACTTGTGAGCTTTTTAGAAAAAGACGCACAGTCCCCACCCTTTACCTGCTGAATCAGAATCTATAGGATAACAAGATCTCCAGATGACATCTATACACACTAAGGTTTGAGAAGCGCTAAGCTAGTGATTATTTCATAAACAATGTCTACATTTTTTGGCATTACTGGATTTGAACATGCTGTTTCTAAAGCAAGCAGTCTGTGGTTTTCTCCATTCTGACGTTTCCAATGGAAACAGTAGGGCCACTCGGATGGGAAGTCAGCAGGAACAGCTGACCAAGAAAGGAAGTTTAGATTGAACAAAGGTTTGCTTCATTTTTATTGCCCCTGGAGGAAGAACAATACTGTACAGAAGCTGTTAATGATGGGCTGGATTCGAAGGCAGTAATCTGTGCCAAAATCCAAATGTGTTTTTACTCTAAACCTCTCTCCAGATGTCTAGCTTTACTCCAAAGTTTCCAGCTGGTTAGAACCCCACAGAAATGGCTGGTCACTAAAACATATTTAAACATAAAATATATTCATATTAACTTTATTTTCAATTTCTTCTCTTTTAATAATTTCATTAACTTCCATTAGCCAGCATATTATTTGGTGCTGATGGAAAATGTCTAGTTGACCTCGATGGAGAGATTTTAGTGGAGATTGTGCTCTGTTTAACAGCGCACACAGGTAACTATGGCAACCCTCCATTTCAGTTATGAACGTGTTATACAAATCCTAAGTGAAAACAGCCTCAGCCTATCAGTCTTTTTTAATAAGTAATCTAACAATAGTGGACCATTCAATCCAGAGAAAAGACTTTCATTTAACCGAGCAATAATTGAAATGGCACTATGCAGGGAGAGCTATGATCTTAACATATTGGCCAACCTGTTAGCATGATTTCCTTGGGCGCTGTTCAGTAAATCACCCATCCAGTTGAAACAGATACAGAGAAACCACATGTAACCACTCAGGCAATTTTGCCCATCAACATTCTGCACCTTTCAAGCCAAACTTTACCAATGGTTTCAAGAAATAGCAGGTGTGGTTTCCCTAATTTGCAGATGGAAACACCAACACCAAATCAACAAGTGATGAGGAGACTGTGTTCTCTGGCAGCCTATAGGAACTGCACCGGAGGTCACTGCACTGGTCCTACTGCTCAAGCCTTTTTCTCGTATCCACCGTCTGCCCCCCACTTGCCTGGACCCACATGCACTGTCATCATGCTTAGTTCATGTTTTTGTGGTGGTGTTCACCACTGTATCCTCAGGGCCTCGCACAGTGCCCAGCAAATGAGAACTGCTCAATGATATTTGTTGAATGAATCAATGAATACATAATTGGATTTATATTATGTATAATATAAGTCAGTTTCAGCCAGTTTGCAATAGTTGTCTTCCTCTCCACTTTCAAAGTGCTTCCCAGTCTCCAAGATCCAATTCAAGAGCAATGTGCTCCCTGAAGACTTCTTTAATTTTCAGTCTAAAATAACATCTCACCCATCAGAATCCTGATATAGTACTTGCTTTCTCTACTATTTTTGTTTTGTTTTGTTTTGTTTTTTGAGAGGGAGTTTCACTCTGTCACCCAGGCTGGAGTGCAGTGGTACGATCTTGGCTCACTGCAACTTCTACCTGCTGGGTTCAAGTGATTTTCCTGTCTCTGCCTCCTGAGTAGCTGGGACTACAGGTGCATGCTACCACACTCTGATAATTTTTGTATTTCTAGTAGAGATGGGGTCTCACCATACTGATCATGTTGGTCTGGAACTCCTGACCTCAGGTGATCCACCTACCTCGGCTTCCCAAAGTGCTGGGATTACAGATGGGAGCGCTGTGCCTGGCCTCTCTGCTATTCTTTTTACTGCTGTCATTTTCTTTCAGAAAATCTTGTTTCTGTTTCTATAGTATATTTATTAACTATGATTTCCAGGAGACCAGTGACAATGCCCTGTATCCCTCAGAACTCCCAGAATAACGCCTTGCACATCACATATGCTACCTGCATAGTTAGGGCTTATAAGTCAGCATGTCACAAAATATTATGACCGTATGGGAAGGAAAGTTTTTTCCTGGTGTCCCAGGAAAGGCTCGACCTGAGGTCTAAGTTCCTGCTCTGCATGTGAATTAGGGGTTTCTGTAGGCCAGGGACCACTGTGGGCCTCTTTCCTACTCTTATCTTGCCCAATGGCACAGTTACAACCAGAATCTATGCCTTTTGCTTCTCAGCAGGTATGTGTCCCCTAAAGAACGCTTTGATCCCTAACTTTCTTCATCAGCCTCATGGCCAGATTCATATAATTGCTGGGTCTAATGCTGTACAAAAAAGCCTTCCTGGATTATGACAAGCAAAGGGAAGAGGAGATGATTAAGAGGCTCATTTTACGCTTCTCTTGCTGGAGGACCTTTACTCATTGCCTTTCGCTTCACCATTAGTAACATGTCAAGGGCTGCTGGGGTCATAAATAACACGAACTGTTCATGGCACAGAGAACGGAGAACAGGCAGATAGTACTGACACATTTAGGATTTTGTGATATGTGTGCCAACCCAGCACACACACTGCAGAACCTGCCTCTTCCCTGTCCACTTGCCCAGACCCCAGAGAGACTGGGTACACACATGTCAGTCTGGCTACCTCCCAGGGGACTGTTGTACCATTTTCCAATCTTGTAGGTTCACAATCACAGCACTTGCCCTAGAATTACTGAGAAGAGCAAGACACCATCCTCTTTTGTAAAACTGATGTTAGTGTAGTGGGGTTCAGAGCCTTCTCCAGCAGCAGCCACCCATTTGTGTTACAGATGTCACTCCATGCCTCTCTTGCACTTTCCCCTAACAAGTCCCAGGGTGCTGAGACTAGGAGATGGACAGAATATTTTTGTGCCATCCCTGCACAGTGTGACTAAGGGATCCCACAGCCTAAAGGTCACCTTGTACAAGGTAAAGTGCTCCTGCTTGAATAACCACAAACAGTCTCTGTCCAGTGTCTGTCTCTTCCCCTCTCAGTTCAGTTGCTTCTCTGCCTTTACCCCTAATAATCTGTAGAAATAATGAACTTCTCAGGTCATTCAAGGGCAACTCATTAACTTCCTTAGGAAAAGCCAGAAATGTCTTTTCTTCCGAAGTGGTAGCTTAATGGCCACAAGCAGATAATGCTTTATCAAGAGGTAATAATAAAATAATAAAATAATAAAATGGGGCTCATGTGATATGTAACAAGAGGCCCAATTTAGGAGACAGGTGTCAAATAATGTAGCCATCACGCATTCTTACCAGTGGATGACACAGGAGGAAACAGAAGCTGAAGGAGCCGGGATTGAGAATATCTTGAGAAAGCTGCATCTGAGCATAATATATAAGTAGCTTCTTTTTGTAAATCGTGGCAGGTTTAGCATTTGATTCCTGGCTTCACATGGACCCTTTGAAGTATTTTCCTGATCTGTGGTCTCCTTCCCTCCTTCTTTCCCGCCCTTTTACTAGGTGCATGTGCAGTCTCTCCCACACACACACACATACACGCATGTTTAAATAGACAAAATCATAATGCTGATGGTGGTGTGATGATGATGATGAGGAGGAGGAGGCCTGGCATCTATAGAACTTTATCCTTTGAGTGTGCATTTTTATGGATTATCTCAATAAATATTTGAAACAACTCAACCCTCTTTGTTAGGTAAAGTAAGTATTATGATTTACATTTTACAGATGAGGAAACTGTGGTTGACTTGTTAAAAAGTAGTAGTAAAGCCAGGATCAGACTCTCTATTCTCCTTCATAGTTGGTTGTCGTACTGTAGCACACTGGAATCAAACCAGAGAGCATCCTGTGACAGAATTACTGGCTGACACGCCACTCCTTCCCACCTCACTGTGAGTGCCTGAAGGCAGAGACACGTCTTATTCATGCCTGTCTCCCACTTCCAACACAGAGGAACGCTGTGTATGGAAGAGAGGGAGGGAAGACGAATGTCTTTTGGAACATTGGTAGACACAGAACCTTGAGGAGATAGTGAAGGATCAGTGGCCCACAGAATTGTGACAGCCTTTTTTTTTTTTTTTTCTGTATCACTTCTTTTATTCAATAATTTATTTGTACACTTAATATGTATGTTGCTGAGCAATCAGAAGCAAAGGATTGGAAAAGGGGCCTAACAGTAAAGGATGAGGAGAAGGAAGAGTGGACAAGCAAAGGTGAAAGCAGAAAGTCAGCTGTCAGTATGGCTTGGGGAGATAAAGAAGGCCCAGGAAGGCCTCAAGGGAAAGGCTGCCATGTCAGGCAGGACACAGAGGACAATGGAGGAAAGGTGATTCTTACAAGATGGTGAAGGTGCCGTTGTAGGTGTTGGGCTTTGGCACAGGCATGTGGCGGAGCCTCCGCTTTGGGCTGAGATCAATACACGACAGCGTCTCACCTCTCCAGGTACAGAGCTCACATATGCTGGTGCTTGTGGAGGCCTGCTCCTCTGGTGCAGTTAAAGTCTTATCTTGGGTGTAACTTTCAGACTGCACCAATGAATCATGAGTAGGTTCTAGATCAGTAGGTGGACCTGTGACTTCAGTCAGGTTTTGATGCTGAGTCTGAACCTGGTCTGGACGAGGAGCTGTAGTCTTCTCCAGGGCTGCAGAATGTCCAGTCTCTGTATTGGGTTCTGGAATTATAGCAAGACCCAGATCTGGAGGCTGAGTGGAGGTCTCCTCTGTGGCTGGAGGCGGTTTAACCTCTGTAGTAGGTTCTGTAGTTATGGTAACCTCCAGATCCAGTGGCTGAACTGTGACTTGAGTCAGGTTTGAATGCTGAGTCTGACTCTTCTCTGAAGGTGGAGGTGTCACCTCAGGGTGTTTTGGAGGAGGAGCTGTAGCCATCAGGGCTGTGGAAGGTTCAACCTCTGTAGTGGATTCAGGAGTGATGGTAAGCCCCAGATCCAAAGGTTGAACTGTGGCTTGAGTCAGGTTTGAATGCTGAGTCTGAACCTCGTCTGGATGTGGAAGTGTCACCTTAGCGTGCTTTGGAGTCTCTACAGTCTTCTTCAGGGGTGTAGAATGTTCAACCTCCGTAGTGGGTTCTGGAGGTTTGATAAGTCCCAGGTCCAGAGGTAGAACTGCAATGCTGGGTGACACTGGGTGCTGAACTTGATCCTGACCTGGTGTTGGAACTGTTACCTCTTGATATACTGGAGGTTGGGGTCCAACTTTCTTAGGAGGCTGAGTTGGGGTCTCCTGCATGGTTGGAGAAAGTTCAACCTCTGTCATGGGTTCTGGAGTGATGGGAAGCCCCAGGTTCAAAGGTTGAACTATGACACTAGGCGATGTTGAATGCTGACCTTGATCCTGACCTGGTGTTGGAATTGTCAACTCACAATGAGCTGGAGGTTGAGCTGCAACCTCCTTAGGTGGCTCTGGAACCTGAGCTGGGACCATCTGCTGGCTTGAAGGTTCTGCCCCCTTAGGGGGCTCTGGAGCCTGAACTATGGCCTCCTGCTGGGGTGGAGAAGGTTCTGCCTCCATAGGGGGCTCTGGAATCTGAGCTGGAATGTCCTGCTGTGTTAGAGATGGTTCCACCTCTTCAGGGAACTCTAGAGGCAAAGATGGGGAGATCTGCTGAGTCAGAGAGGGTTCTATCACCATAGGGGGCTCTGCAGACTGAGCAGGGACTGCTTGCTGGACTGGAGAGGATCCTACCTCTTTAGGTGGCTCTAAAAGCTGAGTTGGGGCCTGCTGTAGGACAGGACGTAGTTCGACGTTCCCAGGTGGCTCTGATGGCTGAGCTGGTATCTCCTGCTGCAGTGGAGGGCTGATCTCTTCCGTGAACTTTGGAGGATGACCTGAGGCTTCCTTCTGGGTTACAGATGGTTCAACCTCCTTAAGGGGCAATGGTGGTTCAGCTGGGAAGTCTTGCTGGACTGGAGGTTCTACCTCCTTAGGAGAATCTGGAGTCTGAATTGTGGCCTCTTGCTGGACTGGAGATTCAGTCTTTTCAGGAGAATGCAGAGGTGGGGAACGGAGATCAGGCTGGACTAGAAAAAAGTCTGCCTACTCAATGGGAATAGGATGGTTGTCCTGCTGGACTGGAGAAGGTTCAACCTCCATAGTGACTGCTGTAGGTATGGTAAGCTCCAGATCCACATTTTTAACTGTGGTATTAGGCAAAGGTGAATTACTTCTGAATACTGGAGACAGATCTAGAGGTGAAAATAGCACCTCATCACTCAATGGACTTTCAAAGTCTGAGGAGAGCTGAATTGGAGGCTGAATTCTGGGCTCTTGATGGACTGGAGGAAGTTCATCATATTCAGGGGTATTTAGCTGCTGAATTATAATCTCTTGCAAATGTTGAAACTGCTCAGGGAACATTAAGAACTGAGCTGGGGCCCCCTGTTGGGTTAAAGTTTCAACCTGATGAGTGAAATATGGAGTCATGGTGATGATGTGATCCACAGGTTTAACAGTGACATTGTGCAATGTTGGAGGCTGAACTTGGTCATGACTTAGAGGAGAAACTGGTACCTCATGATGCTCTGGAGGTTGAGCTACAACTTCCGTAAGGAGCTGTGGAGTCAGAGTTGGGGCCTCGTGCTGGTTTAGAGGAGACTCAACCTTCTCAGGGGTCTGTGGATGCTCAACTGCAGCCTCCTGCTGGGTTGGAGAGGGGTTCTCATCCTTAATTGGTTCTGGAGACTGAACTGAAATCTCCTGTTGAATTGGTAAAGGTCCAACCCTTCCAATGACTCTAGAGGCAGAGGTGGGTCCCCGTGCTGGGTAGGGGAAGGTTATACATCCCTAATCGGTCCTGACAGCTGAGCTATAGCCTCCTGGTGGATTGCAGAAGTTCCCATCTCTGCAGTAGGCTCTGTTGCCATGGTGAACTGCACCTCTGGAGGCATAACAGTGATACTGGGCAAATCAGAATGCTGAGCTTGATGGTGACCTTGTGGTATTACTTCACGATGTTCTGGAGGCTGGGCTGGGGGCTCCTGTTGGGCTGGAGAAGATTCAACCTTCCTAGAAGACTCAGAGGCTGAGCTGGCTGCTCCTGCTCACTGGGGGAAAGTTCAGGCTCCATAGGAGGACCTGGAGGCTCTGTTGGGGTCTCCTCTTGGATTGCAGAAGGTTCTATTTCTTTGGGAGGCTGCGCTGGGGTCTCCTCCTGGGTGTAAGAAGGTCCAAGCTCCTCAGAAGATTCAGAAGACTGAGCTGGCTGCTCCTGCTCACTGGGGGAACGTTCAGGCTCCATAGGAGGACCTGGAGATTCAGTTGGGGCCTCCTGTTCAGTTGCAGAAGGTTTCACCTCCTCTAGATGCTGAGTTGGGGCCTCCTGCTGGGCTTGGGAAGATTCTGTCTCCTTAGTAGGCTCTTAAGTTATGGTAATCTCCATATCTGTAGGTTTAATTGTAACGTTAGGCAAGTTATAATGAGCTTGATCCTCATCTGGAGGTTGAACTGGCAGCTCATTATTTGTTGGAGCTTGAGCTAGACTTTCCATAAAGGACCCTGGAGGCGGAGCTGGGGCCTCCTGCTGGGTCAGAGAAGGTTCAGGCCCCACAGGAAACTCAGAAGGCTGAGCTGGCTGCTCCTGCTCACTGGGGGAAGGTTCAGGCTCCATAGGAGGATCTGGAGGCTCAGTTGGGGTCCCCTTTTGGATTGCAGAACGTTCCATCTCTTTGGGAGGCTGAGCTGGGGTCTCCTTCTAGGTCTGAGAAGGTTCAAGCTTCCCAGAAGACTCAAAAGGCTGAGCTGGCTGCTCCTGCTCACTGGGGGAACGTTCAGCCTCCACGGGAGGACCCGCAGGCTCAGCTGAGGTCTCTTGCTGGGATGCAGAAGGTTTCCTGTCCTCAGGGTGCTCTGGTGTCTGAGCTGGGGCCTCTAATTGAGTTGAGGAGTTCACCTCCTCGGGGTGCTCTGGAGGCTGAGCTGTGACCTGTTCCTGGCTTGATGTAAGTTCCTTACCTGGCTCTAGAGTTCCTGTAAGCTCCACATCCACAGGCTTGCCTGTGACATTGGGCAAGTGTGAGTGCTGAGCTTCACACCAACTTTTAAAGGGAATATCTACCTCGTGCTGTATCAGTGGGTGAGCTATGATCTCTTCAGAGGCAGGTAACTGTTGCACAGGGGCCTCCTGCTCTGTTGAAGAAGAGTGGACCCCCTCAAGGGACAGTGAAGGCAGAGCTGGAGCCTTCTGCTGGGTTGAAGAAGGTTCTACCTCCTCAGGGAGCTGTGGAAACTGCGCTAGGGCTTCTTGCTATAGGGAAGAGGACTGGATCTCTTCAAGGGTCTCTGGATTTTGAGTTTTGGTCTCTAGATGGAATTGAGAAAGTGGAATCAATGTGGAATTCCCACAATCTTAGCAAGCCTCCAATGCTGAGCTAGATCTTTCTTCAGGTTCTTGGGAGAAACTATAAAGTCGGCTGCTTTTGAATCCTTACTGTCTAGAGGTGGAACAAGTATTTCATCTGCCTGATGCCCTGCAGCCTGATCTGGATCTGTAGTCTGAACCTTACTTTTGAGGCGAGGAGGCTGAACTAGGGTCTGGTTCTGATCCCAGTCCAGCATTGGACCCACCTGTGGGAGCCTTTCTTGCCGAGTCAGCTTGTCATTCAGATCTGGGTGTGCAGACGGAAGGGCTCTGGCCCTAGGGACAGCTCTCCAGCTGAATCTGTGTCCAGGAATGGAACCAAATTCTCAGTCGATTCCTGGGGCAGGGCTGACCTGTAGGAGGAAGCAGAGGACCCCAGGTAACCAAAGCCTCTGGGGCCTGCCAGGGAAGTAAGCACATGGGGAGATTTCCATGGGAGACTGGAGTGTGAAGACCAGGGCTCAGTCGGCTCCAGGGGGTTAGAGGTCAGCTGGAGCGGGTCCTTGACCTACTCCAGAGGCTGAGCCTCCTGGACTAGTAGCCACAATAGTTGCCACGTGAGTAGGGGCCATGGGGCGCACAGACGCAGCTGGCACATGACAAGCGCTGGCGCCGCGCATTGAGCGGGAGCCCTTCTGGCAGCCCCTAGAGGCTTGTGTCCCTGACAAGCATGCGCCCCGCCCCGTCCTTTATGACACCTTTATTTACGCTACCTTTATTAGGCTCGGGTCTAGATCTGCTCCCTGTCACCATGGCGATCTTATGTCACAATCCTGCCCAAGCCCCCCTCCCCTCCCCTTAGCTAGGAAGGATTTGGGCCACAGACCCGGGTGGTCCCAGGACTCCAGCAGCCTGGTGGGGTGGGGTCGGGTGGTGTGGGTGTCCCTCGGCTCCCAAGGAGCCCTTAAAAGGGCGGTGGTGAAAGCGCCGAAGGAGACCGGCTTGATTACTCCGCCCACCCCTCTTGGCTTAGACCTGCGTTCTATTTCCAGGCATGCCTCACCTTTCCTCGTTAGCCTGCTTCCATATTGAGAAAAAGAACAAGAGGACTTTAGAGAGACTCCCAGAAAGCAGGATACCAGCCCCAGAAGGCCTCGGAGTCAGGGGCAGCTTTTTTTTTTTCTAATTGCATTTTAGGTTTTGGGGTACATGTGAAGAACATGCAAGATTGTTGCATAGGTACACACACGGCAGCGTGATTTGCTGCCTTCCTCCCCTTCACTGTGACAGTCATTTCTAAATCATAACACCTCCTGGGGTTACTTTTTTTCTTTTTGAGATGGAGTTTCGATTTTCACCCAGGCTGAAGCGCGATGGCACAGTCTTAGCTCACTGCTACCTCTGCCTCCCAGGTTCAAGCGATTCTCCTACTTCAGCCTCCCCAGTCGCTGGGATTACAGGCTCATGCAAACACGCCCAGCTAATTTTTTGTATTAGAGATGAGGTTTCACCATGTTGGTCAGGCTGGTCTCAAACTCCTACCTCAGATGATCCGCCAGCCTCAGTCTTCCAAAGTGCTGGGATTATAGGCATAAACCACCACGCCCAGCTGGGTTACTTTTAATCTCTGTCTGTGACATCCATGTTGTTCCTCCCTTCCCCATCTGTGCACACTGTTCCTCAGCTTAGAGAAGCCTCTGATTTACAAAGGCTGCAGTGGCTGCTACTTCCCTTGCTTTCCACCCCACCATGTGGTAACTCCAGAGGAAACTGAATAACTGATACAACCTTACTATAAAGCAGGCTCTAAAAATGTCATCATACCTGAATTCAGACTTCTCTCTACAGGACAGAAGCACCGTAGCCTAGTTGGGGACACCGCATGTAACCACAAAGCTAAACACATGTGCGCCATTAAACACATCAGCGGCAAATGGTAAATTGACCGTCTCTTTATTCAACAAGCATTACTGAGCTCTTACTAGGTGGGAGTCTCTGGATGGGGCGTGGAGGACCCCGTGAACAGCCAGATAAGCTCCCTGACCTGGAGGAGCTCAGTCAAGTGCAGAAGCAGGCAGATGTGTGATTACCAGGAAAAAAAAGACTGTGAATGTCTCTTAAGCACACCTTGCTCAGGTAAATTATGATGACGTTTTTGGAGATCTAGTGGTTCCTTCCCTTATAGGGCTGCTTAGGAGCTGGCTATGATTGCAGTCCGTGGTGTGGAAGAATGGGGATTGAAAGAATGCTTCCAGCAGTGGGGGCAGTAAGAGATTGTGAGAGAAACAAACATGGTCATCTCATCATCTTAGACCTTCTTCCTTGATTGTCCTGTGCACAAAAGTATCCAAGAGTAGAAGGCTGGACCCTCAGCATTGAATGGTTTTGAATAGATGGATTCAGCCGGTTCCTGAGTCAAACACAGTTCCTGAAAGGTAATGACATCACTCAGAAATACTTGCTCATCATGCTGTCAGGCAAGCAGGTATTAGACCTGCTGTTCCAGCACCAACACCGTGAAGTATATTCACTATGCATAATGCAGGGGCTTGCAGCTTGTGTTTCCTCTTCCCTGGCCATGATCATGGGTCACATTTCACTTACATGGGGCTTTCAGAGTACAAGACTGGGCATGTAAAGAATGGTATAATTGAGCTTTTCCCTCTTGGCTGGAATCTGTGGTTGCATTCCCTCTAAACCACACCGAATTCTGATTTGCTGCCTTGGATTTTACAGAGTCCTCTGTGAAAAATAAAAGCCTACAGGTGTGATAGTTTACTGCAGTCTTAGAAATAGAATTTCTTACAGCTGAATCGCTTATATTTTCTATGGGGGAGAAAAAAACCTCACACACACACACACACACACACACACACACCCCAGCCTAAAAGATTTGCATTTGTCTTACGTCCATTTCTTATGCAACTCCCTTCTTGTCCTATATCCATTTCTTTTTCTTTTTTTTTTTTTTTTGAGACAGAGTCTTGCTCTCTCGTCAGGCGCCAGGCTGGAGTGCAGTGACACGATCTTGGCTCACTGCAACCTCCACCATCCGGGTTCAAGCAGTTCTCCTGCCTCCGCCACCCAAGTAGCTGGGACTACAGGCGTGCACCACCATGCCCAGCTAATTTTTGTATTTTTAGTAGAGACAGGGTTTCACCATTTTTGCCAGGCTGGTCTCAATCTCCTGACCTCGTGATCTGCCCGCCTCAGCCTCCCAAAGTGCTGGGATTACAGGCGTCTACATCCATTTCTTATGCAGCTCTTCTTTGTCTGATTTTCTTTCCCTCTCTTTGTGACTGCTCCACAGAACCCATATACAGTACGGCACTTAAGTAGGGTGAAGGACTTTCTGCAACTCCAGGGGAGAGAGTTT